GAAGTGCAGCAAGTGCTCTTAACTGATGAACACTGGGTTAATAATTATTTTTATCAAGAACTACATGTAATATGATAGGCAATGTCTTTTTTGTTTCTTTTTGAGACAAGGTCTCATGCAGCTCTGGCTGGCCCAGAACTCACTTTATAGACCAGGCTGACCACAAACTCAGAGATCCTCCTGCCTCTGCCTCCTGAGTGCCGGCATTAAAGCTGTGCGTCACCACCATACAGGGCTTTATGAAACTCAGACTCTATGCACTGATATCTGACATTACCTCTACAACTGTTTTCCCAGAAAGAGTTTGTGAGCTCTCACAGATTCTCTTAATCTCAAACCCAGAAACCCATTTCTTCCTTTTTATGTCCTATTCTGCACCTACCACAGAAAACAACTGCCATTTATACTTTCAAAAAATTCAAATTCAGATACTTATCACAAGAAGTTTAAAATTAAATGCCAGGGGGCTGGGAGTAATCCTAGCACTTAGGAAGTAGAGGCAGGAGAATTTCTGTGCATTTAAGGCCAGACGGGACTACACAGAGAGACTCCGAATCTCAAAATACCAACAACTGCAACAGTAATAATAAAAAGTACGTCAAATTAAATGAAAGAAAGCTGGGTGTGGTAGCATCCGTCTCTAATCTTAGCACTCAGGAAACTGAAGCCTGAATAAGGCAAGGGGAGGGTTCTAGGTTACCCTGAAGATACATCAGGGCCTCATCTATCTCCAAAAAATAAAGTATGAACCACAAATTACTAAGGTTTCTATTTCTACCTTATTCTTACTTTCTTGTATCTTTATAATGTAACTGATATTATTATAAGGCTTTAAAAAATGGGATGGTCTCACTGTTGCTGGGCTATTCTTAAAATCCCAAGCTCAAGAGATTTTTCTACAAAAATCAATTAAAAGCAAAAACAAAAACAAACAAAAAAAACCCTGAACCAGATCCTTCTGCTTAAGCCTCCAAAAAGTAGCTGGCAGGATATAAATGTGCCAGTTAAAGCTACACAGCAAACCTTGCCACAAAACGCAAAATAAAAAATTAGAGCCAAGTGGTGGCACTCGCCTTTAATCCCAGCACTCAGGAGGCAGGGGCAGGTGGATCTCTGTGAGTTCAAGGTCAGCCTAGTCTACAAAACAAGTTCCAGGACAGCCAGGGCTACCCAGAGAAACCCTGTCTCGAAAAACCAAACAGTAATAATAATAATAATAATAATAATAATATAATGAAATAATTAAAAATATAATTGAATCTGAATCTTTGAACCAAGGAGCTCAAATCTGTACAGATAAAAAGGTTATCAAACAAAAATTACATTTTGAAAGACTTTTTTGAACATAGGAATCACAACAATCTTGAGTAATAAAGTACTGAATAACTGGGCCCTTAGTTTTGTCTTACCTCAAACTTCATAAATTTTCTAGAACATGCTCTTTTAATTTAAAATAGCCAAAACACCCTTTTTATGTTTTGAATTAAATAGAATAAACATATCTTTGTGAAAAAGAAAATAAACATGGAGACACTAAGAGTCACAATCCCAAAGCATAGTAGAAATAAAGACAAGACCATCCTCCCCCCAAAACCAAATAATGCAGGATATTTTCCACTGTATATAATTATTTAACTTCAGTACTAATTTCTCATTTTCTAACACTGTTTGTCTCCTTGAATCAACAATGACCTTACACATTGCTAAAAGGTTACATAATACTATTAACAGATTACCCCAGAGATAAAATTTAAGAATCGACAGCTTATCATAATCTTACTGCCTCAAAATAACAAGAGCACTTTACCATCTTCAACTTTTAGTACTTTTTTTGAGATGAGAGGTCTCAATATGGAGCCCAAGCTGGCCTGGAACATGTTACCCTCTTGTCTCACTTTCCCAAGTACAAAAATTACAAATGTGTATCACTGTATGTGGTATTTATTCATCTTTAGAACCCTAACACAAAGTGCAAATTCTTGGCACATATTAGGTACCCAATAAATGTTTGTTTTCTAAAACATAGCCTTTTCCCTCCTGCTAGCACTTGCTACTAGACTTAACTATTAAATCAAGCAAAAACAGTGAACTCTCACTATTACATTTAGAGTCTCCAATCATTAAATACAGAGGATACGCTAAATAAATTAATGTACACAATAAAAGTTAAGGGGAACATTTATGTTAAAATTGTAAGTGCTATACTAAATTAACTGGCACATTAATTATAATGCTAGTCCACTGAAATATCTGACTAACCTTTAGCCAGCATTATTTTGTTACCTTAGTTGGCCTCACTGAATGAAAGCAATAAAATTACAGGTGCTCTAGACTAGAATGTAGAGCCCAGTCTGAAGTCTGCTAAAAATAAACAGTTTAACTCTGAGCGATTCATTTTTTTCTTCTTTGGATCCTCATCAGCCTATCTGTAAACAAGAGAACACTGGGGGTGTGTTCAGCTTACTTTTTTTTTGTTGTTAGTTCTAGGGACTGACTACAGCACCTAATGAATATTATGCATACATTCTGTACTGAATTACAACCCTTAAACCCTTTGAAGTTTTTATCCCCAACCCAAAACATTTACTATTTTTAAAATGTATAAAGTGCAGAGGATTGATAAAGATGGCACAAAAAGCAAACACCAAATGATGCCATGCAATATAAAAATTTTATTGATTGTGATTCTGTTTGTCCAGATGTATCCCAAGCTGGCTTTGAACTCTTCCTACCAAATGTAGAGATTATAAGTGTGTGCCCCGACTCTGATGGTTTATTTTATCATTTTATGTGTATGGGTGTTTTGCATGCAGTGCCCATTGAGGCCAAAAGGGGGCATTGAATTCCGTGGGACTGGAATTACAAGTGGCTGTGAGATACCATGTTGAGTGCTGGAAACAGAACCCAGGTCCTCTGGAAGAGCAGTCAGGGAGCTTAAACACTGAGCCATCTCTCCAATCCAACTTGTTTTTGAAGCAGGGTCTCACTACATAGCCCAGGCTGAACTTGAATTTGCAGTTCTGCATTGACTCCAGTGCTGGGATTAAGCCACCAAGTCTGCCTTTCTTTCCCTTTCTTCTATTGGTATATATTCATTGTCCAAAACAATGGCTTATGTTATATTTTCACAAATTATATAATATTGTACTCTGGCCAACTTTTAGCCTTTTTTTTTTTTTGTTTTTGTTTTTGTTTTTTGAGACAGGGTTTCTCTGGGTAGCTTTGTGCCACCACCGCCCAGCTTAACCTTTTCTTTGAGATGTTCAAAAATCAAACCGCAGTGGTGGTGGTGCACGCCTTTAATCCCACCACTCGGAGGCAGAGTCAGGCCGGTCTCTGTGAATTTGAGGCCAACCTGGTCTACAGAGCAAGAACCAGGACAGGCACCAAAACTATACAGAGAAACCCTGTCTCGAAAAACAAAAACAACAACAACAACAAAATCAAACCAAACCCAGAGCCCTGTACATGGTAAGCAAGCATTCACTGTACCACACTGAGCTACATATCCCAATACAATCTTTACATTCTTAATCTTTTTAAAAATAATTGTAATCCAGAAGGACCCTGTGATTCAGATTTATCTACATGTCAAATTTGATATCTGAATTCTATAGTTTGCTACACTATTTGATAATCAGGAAGCTTACCATATTTCCTAAAAATAGAGACTAACCTTTTTGCCATTTCACATGAATAGGGGGAATAATAAGTGAAAACCAAAAGAGAAACACAAATATCCAAATAATCAAGCCTGTCTGTTAAGACAACATAAGCTACATGGGATTTTACAGTATAAATCATTGATACATAAATAGATATGGTAATAAATATCAATTCCAAATATTTATGTTGATATGCATCTGTGTGCTTTAAAACTTTTTAGTAATAAAATCAAAACTTGTTTATAGTAAAACATTCAAACATACATTTAAGGCACAGGGGAAAAGCAAAGTGAAGTTTTCCATCCCTCTTCTTCAGAAGTGACCAGTGTTACTCATTTTCCTGTATAGCTTTCAAGGATCCATGTGACCCAATCCAAGTAGACATAAACTTCACCTAAGATGTTTTCCAATTTTTAAGTAATGGAGGAAAACAAACCAGGCACAATCTTTACATATATGTTCAGTACATACATGTTAAGTACACTGAAAATGGTGCAGACACCAGCACAAACTAGTTTTATGCTGTACAGAAATGTTAAACAGAATATCCTTAGATTTTGTGCTTAGAGGTTATAGGAAGCAGCAGGAGTGAGGTGGTCAGGGAGCCTCAGAACCCGAGTTCTCATCTAACTAGCCATGTAATCTTAGGCCAGTCATGAAACCTTGAGCCTCAGTTACTGCTTTGTAAAACAAAAGGATTGGGGTAAATCCTTCCCAACTCTAAAACGGTATAATTAATTCTAAGATGGCTGGCTCTTAACAGTGTTCTCTTGAACTGGCTACCAAAAAAAAAAAGTATTCAGGAGAAAATGAGAAGAGCGAAGAAATACTATAGTAATCTCCAGTCTTACTAGAGTAAATTTCTATGACTCGTTCATTATCAAGGTATAGCTGTGATGACAGAGTAGTGACATAATTGTACTTGAAGGCAAAGTAGTAGATTATTAAAATCTAATGGGTTGGTTTTTCCCAAAGTTTCCACTAAAACGTTTTTCTTTTTGGAGATGGAGAGAGCCACTGCTTAGTTCCAGCAATCACTACTTCCCTCCCTTCAAAGAATAACACCCCCACGATTCAACTGTGGAGTTCAAATACTGAAACCGAAAGTCAATTTGACATTTTTCTTTCAGAAATAATGCTGGGGAAGTGACCAAAGGTGGCAAGAATGACCAGCTATTTCCTCCTCTGGAAGCTCTTGGGCCCTCAGTCTTTTGGTTTCGCGCACCCTTGCCAGAAACATACGATTCCTGCCCCATACACGCCACAGGCATCAGATGGGGGGGGGTAGGAAGGTTGAGCCTATCTTTTTTTTTTAAATTATTTAACTAGATTTACCTTAGGTGTCACGAAGTTTAAGGAGGCTGACCCGAAGGCTTGAAGCCAGCCACCCTACACTCGGCTTCCAGGGGCAATCCCAGGAACCTTGGACAAGGAGCCCAGGCCAGCATTCCCCGCGGGCGGGCGCGGCCTTCCCGCCCAACTAGGCAGAGCTAGCCCAAGCGGAAGGGAGGGGGGGAAGAGGAGAGCGGGGAGGAGAAGGGAGGAGGAAGGAGAGGGAGGAAAGGGAGGAGGGAGGAGAGGAAGGAGGGAGGAGAAGGAGAAGGAGGGGAGAGGAGAGGAGAGGAGGAGGGGAGGGCGGGAAACCCACAAGAGCTGTACCCACCGCGCCAAGTAAGCCTGTCCAAACCGCCGTGGGCGACCGTTCCCGAGGGGAGGGTCCCGGAGGAGGGGCAGCCCGAACCGGATCGGGAAAACACAACTCCGCGGGGCGGCGGGCCGCGGCCTAGGAGAAGGAAACGGAAGTCACTATGTCTCCCTCCCTCGGCCTCCACAGGCCGGACGGCCCTCTCGGAGAGAACTCGGAGACCGGAACCAAGTGCGTCCACGTCAGGGCTTATTAAAAAAAAAAAAAAAAAAAGCCACTGGGTGCTGTCCGCCAGCTTCCCCGGCCAGCCCAGCCATTGGCCTTAGGCCATGTCCTTCCCACCTCCCCCCGGGGAGCTCGGCTCCCTCCCGACAAAGCCCCTCCTTCTTTCCCGCTCCGCCATCTTCCGACCTACCGCCCGGGCCCGGGCGGCCCTCGATTAGCGTCGCGCCTGCTCCGGGGAGCACCAACGTCCCGCCGCTTCCCGGAGCCGGAAGGGGGCATCGAGAAAAAACCCAGGCCTCCTCATTATGCAGCCCGACCCCCCCTCCCCAGCTCCAAGCCAGAGCCTGACCCAGCGGCTGCACATGCGCACAGGTCACCTCGCAGTCCCCCGCCCAACCCAAGCGTTTCCTCTTAGCAGCCAGGACTTTTTTTTTTTTTTTGTTCCCACGGCCTTTACCTAGACTTTAGGGTGAGGAGTAGGGGAATCCAGGTAAGAGGATTAAAAACCGAGGGAGAAGGGTCAGAACATACTGGTTTCTTACTGGATATCAAGGACTAGGTGTATAACGTACTCTTTGTTATTTTGAAAACCCTGAAAGGCAAGGCACCCCTATTAAACTCCTTCTCCGGGGGAAACTGAGACCCAGAGAAGTTAATTATCCCAGTATCACCCACCGGCAAAAAAGAGAACTGAGATTAGACTCCGTTGTTTCTAAATAGAGAAAGATGAAAGGAATGACAGGAAAGGGAGACAAAAAGAGAGTGAGAGATGTTTGATTTGTGAAGAGACAAAAAAAAAAAATAGAGTGAAGATGGAAAAGAAACACAAAAAGTCTTTGTACACAAAATGATGATCATGCCCCTAGGTTACTCAGATATGCTTGTATGGTTGTCAGATAAGTATGGATTTAGGTTTCAGGAATTTGGGCTCGTAGTGGCTAGTGTAGTAAGATAGATTCTGAATATCATTTCAGAGGAGATCATGAGTACCATCTGCCTGGTTAAATAATGCTGCCCTTGATGAAAAGGAACTTGGAAAAGAAGAAAAATATTTTTGGTTCTTAAACTTCTGCTAACATAATATCCCTTCTGATGCCATCTTTTTTTTTTAATTTTAAATTACTACATTGATTTAGTGTGTGAGGTCAGAGGGCAACTTGGGGAGTCCATTCTCTCCCAGCATGTGGGTTCCAGGGATGAATTCAGATCCTCAAGCTTGGTGACAAAACCTTTCTCCCCAGAGTCACCTGTGTCCGAGGCCCTGGTGTGCTTAGAGCCCTGAGAATTAGACCTGACCTTTTACAATAATAGTAATTACAAGCAAAGCCTGGGGATGTAACACATTGGTGGAGCACTTGTCTAGCATGTGCAAGGTCTAGGACTCAAACCTCATCACTGCCAACAAAAGAAAACTGCAAGAAAATATTTCTCTCATTTTTCAGAGCACTCTTAAATATATTAATCAGTACCCTCCCCTTTTTTTTCTTTAGATAGGAGTCTTACCAAGCCACCTTCAAATTCATCAAGAGAAGGATCAGGAGTTCAAGGTCATCTTCAGTCACAAGTGTGACCTCAGGCTAAGATGCATGGAACCCTGTCTCAAAACAAAACCAAAACAGAAATTCACCTCAAGCTACCCTCCTTTGTCTTTATAGTAAGTTGGTCCATCATCACCTCATTTTAAAGAGGCTGAAATCAACTGTGCTAGTCTTTGTTAGCCAACCCTGGATCTTTCTGCTCACAGGTCTTCTGCTGACTATCACCCAGGCTGCTTTCTCTGGTCTTAGGCTTGTCGCCCCCCTCCCCCCCTCCCCCCCCCCCCCCCCCCCCCCCCGCCCCCAGCTTGCATGAGGCTGAGTTAAATCCTTTCATTCTGACTTCAAGATGAGAGTAAATCCCCTTAGCCTTGAGTTCACTCCCCCCTAGGATAATGTATAGTGGCTTCTAAGAAAACTACTGAACTGTGCTCTGGCTCTTGCCGGTTGAAACTAGTTGAACAGAAGCAGAACCTTCTCTACTTCCCTTACCTGAAGACTGTATTTTCTCATTTTCTGTTATTCTTTATTCTTTGAACTTTAAGTGTTTTGTAGAATCTTTATTGTTGCTGTTTGGGGCTTTTTGTTATTTTGTTTTTTGAGACAGGGTTTCACTGTATAGCCCAGGCTGTCTCAGAAGTCACCGTGGAAGGCCAAGCCAGCCTGAATTGCAGGCAACCGGTACGTCACCTAGCTAGTACTGTTTGGCTTGGGATTTTTGAATCAAGGTCTCCTGTATCTTATGTTGGCTGCAAACTTGCTATGTAGCCAAGGATGACCTTGAATTCCTGATCTTCTTGCCTCTGAGTGTTGAGATTGTCCCACCATGTCTGGCTTCGTTTTGTGAGACATTGTGCTATGTAGCCTTGTCTGGCTGGGCTCACTCTTGGCAATCGATCCTCTGCCACAACCTCCTGAGTGTTAAGATTATGAGCTTGAGCAACTACCCCCAACCAGTTCACGTTTTTATTGTAAAATGTCCACGAAGTTACTATTTTAGCCGTTTTATTTTAACCACTGTAAGTGAATGAAAATGACGATATGACTGCTCCAAGCTGTGGTTGAGGAGAAGGATTTGATTGTAAGTGTGTGGGAGGGTTCAGCCAGAGGCACCTGGAAGGGTCAGGACTGAACCAGGCCATGAGAGCGGGGAGCAGGAGAGGACGAGAAGAGAAGGAAGAAAAGGGGCAAGGGGTACAGAGAGGAGCCGAGGACCAAGAGTACTCATGACCCAGATGGCAGCTTTATATATGAACGAGAAGCTGGGGGAAGGGAAGCAAAGTCCAGCCCGTGCTGGAGCGGTTTCGGGTAGGGGTGGGGTGAGAAGCGCTGGGAGGAGCCACAGGTACTGAGTGAGCCTTGGGTTGCTTTGGGATCTGACAGTGAGTACATAGTTCAGTGGCATTGAGAACATTCCTGTTATTGTGCAACCATCACCACTGTCCACTTCTAGAACGTTTCATCTAACTCCATCACTGACATTGGTGCCTTGTTACTGTGCACAGTGCCTGTGCCACACAGTAGAGCTACTTGCATAAATGTCTCATCTCTCCTATGCTGTAAGCTCATTTAGGGGAAGGTCTCTGTCCAAATCATTTGTGGAAAACCCTTGAAGTCATCTTTTACGAATTTGAAATGTATTCACGGAAGCAGAAGCCATGTCACGTGTGTGGAGGTCAGAGGACAGCTTGCTAGAGTTGACTGTCCCCCCACCATTCCCATTCTGGGGCTCAAGCTCAGGTCATCAGGCTTGTCAGCAAGTCCCTTTATGCACTGCTCCCTCTCTAGTGCCTTTTTTGATTTTTTTAAGACAGTTTTATGTATCTGAGACTTATTACATAGCTGGAACTTTTCTTTTTTCTTTTTCACTATTAAGGCGTGTGTAAGAGAGATGTGTGTCAGTACAGGCTCACACGTTCGTTCCACAGGCACATGACAGGCACGTGTGTGGAGGTTAGAGGGCATATTTAGTACTTCTCCACTTTCACCATTGGCTCCGTGAATCAAATTCAGGTTACCAGGCTTACAAGAGAAATGTTTTTACCTGCTGAGCCATCTTGTAGACCCAGCCTTGAACTCCCCTTCCCTTCTCCACCTCCCTGTCGCTAGGATATAGGCGTGCACCACCATGCCCACTTCATGCTGTGCTGGTGAGCGCAGGACTCAGTGGATCCTGGGTGTGCCCTCTCCCCACAGCTGCAGTCCCCAGCACCTAGACACATCTCTAGTTCCTTTCCTCTCACATCCAACCCGTCAGCAAAGCTTACCATTGCTATCTTCAAAATATGTCCCGAGTACCACAGCTTTCAACCTCAGCACCACTTCATCAAGCCTATCCCTCTCCTGGCCTGCAGTAGCTTCCTCGTTGGCCTTCTCAGTTCCCTCTCCACTCCATTTCCACAGCAACCAGTAACGCATGGAAACCACAGTACAGATAAGTTTCCTGCTCAGATCCCTTCACTGGCTCTCCATTTTACTCAAAAAAAAAAAAGAAAGAAAGAATACCTCCAAAGGTTCTGGTGTCAGCTACCAGATGGTGTCCAACAGTCTTCATCTGTCCCTAGTCACCACTAGTCATGTGCTTGCATGTGTTTCTTCTGCATAGAATTAGTTACTGGCCTGTGTGACTGATAGGATACAGAAGTGGTGATGTGTGACATTTAAAGGGAGGTCATAAAAGGCCTTGTGGTTTCTGCCTGGCTCTCTTGGATTGATAGCTGTGGAGTAACCCAGGCATGTTTGGGTATTCAAACAGAAGGCGAAACAAGCTGTGATGATTCATGACTGTAATCCCAACACTCAGGAGGCCAAGGCAAGAGGATTAGGAATCTGAAGCCAGCCTAGTCTACATAGTAAGACTTTTACTCAAGAAAGAAAACAGATTGTTGGCACATGCCTGTAGTCTGGTCCTTGGAGGTAGAGGTGGAGGCAGGAAGGCCAGGATTTCAAGGTCACCCTTAGCTGCATAGGGAGCAAGCCTGGGCTACATATCTCAAACCCCACCCAAAAGAGAGAAAAAACGAGAAGGAAAAGAAGGAAGGAAGGGCAGGAAACCAGACGACCCAGCCCAGTATCTAAACTAATGAGAAAATGAGTTCTACCCCTTTCCCATCTTTCCCATCTTTCCTCCCCCTGGACCAGCAAGCTGCCACACCTTGCGGACCATGTGAGTAAGACACTTTGAAGAGGCTACTTCAGGCCTAAGAT